ATGGTGTTGAGTACTTGGGAGTTACCCAGTTGCTGCTATAGCTAGAAAGACAGTTCTGAAAGCTCTAGACTCAACTAGCAAGCCCGCAAAGAAGATGCCTCTGTGGGATCCGGAGCAGGCTTGTGATGCCTCAGCTGTCCCCGAGCACAGGAGATCACCACCAGGCCTGGATCGGGGCTGGAGATGAACTAGGAGTGAGCAGTGCAAGGAAGAGGATGAGCTGAGATTGGGGCCTCATGAGGCCCCCGTTCTCCCAGGCCAGGGCCCCTCCACCTGGAGGCACTCCTGTGCCCTTCAGAGGAAGCAGATTCAGACAGAGACTTCTCAGAAAGCTGGGGAATTCTTAGGGTCACTGAGTGTCATGCAGCTCTTCTCACTGACCGGGGAGGTTTGGAGAAAGGGTTTCAGGGAAGCTTGGCTCATCGCCTTCCTCCTGAGGGCCTTGGGGAGCTTGGGGTCTAGCTGAGAAGAACGAGACTCATTTCTCCCATTCCTTTCCCAGATGATCGGCACCGGATCGAGGAGAAACGCAAAAGGACATACGAGACCTTCAAGAGCATCATGAAGAAGAGTCCTTTCAATGGTGAGTGGGGGTGGGGAGAGTTAGAGAAGGCACAGGGGGTGGGGGTGGGGGGGGCGGAGACCCTGGGGGCCAAGAACTGACCCGGACCTGCTCCACAGGACCCACCGACCCCAGGCCTCCTCCCCGGCGCATCGCCGTGCCTTCCCGCAGCTCGACTTCCGTCCCTAAGCCAGGTAACCATTTCCTATTGTCACTGGAATTAAAGGCTTGAATCTGTTCCGTCTGTGGCTCACACACGCGCTGGGAGAGGACAGAGTGGCCAGCCTCATCCGCAGGTGTCTGGAGGCTGCTGCGTGTTGGGCTCGTGTTTCTCAGGGCCTGAAGCCTAATTATCTCTGCCAGAGCCATCTGGAGAGGTAAAGGTGCAGGTCCCAGGCCATTACACACCTGGAATCAGGAGCTTTGGAAGTGTGGTCAGGAGCCAGCCAATGCACAGAGAGGTCTGAGGACCGCTGTGCCCGTTAGAAACTCCAGGTTGGATACCGGGCATCCAGAGTTCAAAAGGATGGTCTCTGCCTTCAGCTCTCAGTTGAATTAGGGAAACAAAAATCACGTCCAAAGCAGCAAAATGCATGTGCTGGTGTGTGGCTCAGACAAGAGTGGTGTCCTTCAGGCCACTCTTCCGGATACTCCGTGGGCCCACGCCTCCTGGGGCTTGGCTTTTCAGCTATAAGATGACACGTGACCAGCTGACTCCTGACAGCATCCCTTCCTGTGATGGCTGGGAGAGCTTTCTGGCTGGTGTGGATAGGGCTCCAAGGAGGTGGGGCCGGAACTGGACCCCCACCCTAGACAGATTGGGTGAAGGATGCTGGCCTTGACTCACAGGGAGGGGTTGGTCCTGTGCTACTGATGGGCTGGGATACAGAGGACGGTGGGTCTCAGGCTTCCTCTGACCCTTTCTCTCTGTCTCTCTTCCAGCTCCCCAGCCCTATCACTTTACGCCATCCTCCCTCAGCACCATCAACTTTGAGGAGTTTTCCCCCATGATCTTTTCTGAGCAGATCCCAAACCAGCCCTCAGCCATGGCACCAGCCCCTCTCTCAGCCATGGCACCTGCCCCTCCCTCAGCCATGGCACCAGCTCTGGTTCAGACCACAGGCCCTGTCCAAATCCTAGCCTCCAGCCTTGCTCAGGCTGTGGCCCCGCCTGCCCCCAAGCCCACCCCGGCAGGGGAAGGGGCACTGACGGAGGCCCTGCTACAGCTGCAGTTTGACGCTGATGAAGACCTGGGGTCTCTGCTGGGCAATAATTCTGACCCGGCCGTGTTCACGGACCTGGCATCTGTCGACAACTCTGAGTTTCAGCAGATGCTGAACCAGGGTGTGTCTATGGCCCCCCACACAGCGGAGCCCATGCTGATGGAGTACCCTGAGGCTATAACACGCCTGGTGTCAGGGTCCCAGAATCCCCCTGACCCAGCTCCTGCTCCCCTGGGCCCCTCTGGCCTCTCCAACGGCCTCCTGTCAGGGGATGAAGACTTTTCCTCCATCGCAGACATGGACTTCTCAGCCCTGCTGAGTCAGATCAGCTCCTAAGTGGGGGTGACACCTGCCTTGCCCGGAGCACGGGGTGCGGAGATTGAAGCCCTCCCAAAGCAAGCACTTATGGATTCTGGGGGAGGGGTGCTCCAACTGCCCCCGACTTCTTTGGGTGATGTCTTTGTGGTGGTGGGGGTTGCATTTTATTCTTTCATCGGCAATATCTCTCTCATTTTGGAGGTGCTTAAGCAGAAGCATTAACTTCTCTGGAAATGGCGTTGGGAGGACCCAGACCCTTCCCTTGTCCTGATGTTCAGCTCCTCTCTGTAGAGAATTCTGGAGGCTCCCATCACCACCCTCCAGCTTCTAGTACTCTCCTAGAGAGAGGGACAGGCTGGAGCTAGGCCTTGGAGGCCACAAAGCCTTATTGTCAAGTGTCTTCCTCAAATCATGGATTCATTTACACTTGAGCCAAAATGATGCCCCTGTTACCAGCTCTTCCGTGGTGCTGGCATTTCCCTTGTGCCTAACACCAGCATTTGAGAGGCTGGACTTCCTGCCCTGCCAAGGACTCTTGCCGGCTCTTGCTTTGCTCAGCTTGGCTGAGGAGACTGGTGGGACAGCTCTGGCCCTCTCCTCTCCATGATCCAGGGAGGTTAGGTCTGAGACTTTTCTGTTCCCCTTTTTTAAGTGCCTTAATAGAAGGGCGAGTTGTTTGGAGAGTGGGGGGGAGGGCAGGCTGGCAGCTCTCCAGTCAACAGGCTCAGTTTTTACTGAAGAATCAAAGCAGTTGGACTCTTGCTTTCACTTTGAACTAATAAATTTGTTACCAAGCCTATCAGAGGTTTGCCTTCTTTCATCACACTCACGCTGGCCACGTCAGACTGGGCATTGGTGATACAGATTTGGATGGATATTTAATCATTGGGGAGCTTGCCCTCTGAGGATGCCCTTGGAAACGCCTAGTCACTGTCCAGTGGATGGAAGGCAGCTAAGATGGGTGGGGTTCTCAGCTTAGTGAAGGCCTCCTAGGGCCTATTGGCTGTGGGGACTTCAGCTCGTGGATACAGAGGAAGGTGGATTTCAGAGGGACCAGCCAGCATCCGTAGGTGAGCAGGGTAAAGAACGGTGTGGAAAGGTTCAATGGCTCCAGGCTGTGAAAGATCAAGAATGCTGGACTAAGAGGGTTGGGCTTCATCTCCTGGGTGGCCAAGGAAGAGTATCTGTTGGGGAAGTGAGTGCCAGGTAAAGGTCTGTGGTTTGGTAGTCTGTTCTAGGACCAAGGACCTGAGAAATCCTAACTCCGCAGCCCCACGGGGCCTAAACAAAGCCAGGCCGAGACCCAAAGGGCTAGAACAGAGGCATTTCCGGTTTGGCTTGACGCATGCGCAGTAAAGGAGGATTCTGGCGCACTGACCAGCCTTTCTGAGTGCGCATGCGCGCATGTAGTAGTCTGACCGGAAGCCAGGTAGCGCGCTTGGGGAAAATCCCGGTCGGGTAGCAGATGACGTCTGTGTTCCGGGTGTTGCGCTGTTGCAGGAGGGTGAAGGCAGCGGCGAGCGGTTTATCAGTGGGACTTGCCACAGCAGCTGGCGCGGCCCGTGGGAGCACCGCAGACTCCGGGCGCAGGGGCGGCGGGAAGTGGTGAAACCGGAAAATGTCTAGCGTGGACCTCGCTGCAGCCTCTCGGTCAGGGGGCGGGGTCAGCGGCGGGGCCTGAACCAGGGTGAGCTCCGCAGGGGTCAGCACCGACTGCACTTCCGTGCGAGGGGCGGGGCCTGACCGGAGCGGCCGGGTCAAGACCCGGCGAACCTGCCAGGCAGCCCCGGGGAGGCGGGGCAGATGGAGCCCGGGTCCTGGGCCGCCTGGGGAGCTGGAGGAGGGGCCTTGTCTGGCGAGAGGCAAACCCTAGACTGAGGAAGTGGATGGCGGGGCAGGAGCTGCCCGAAATTTGGCCAACCTGCGGCTTAGAGGGGTCCTCCAGCCACGCCTCGGTCCGCTCTTCTTGGCCTCCCCAGCGTCCGTCAGTGTCCTCCCGTGACCCCCGGAAACCCTTCCCACACTTCCTGAGTGACCTCATCCTGTTCAGGGCGCACCAGCCCCAAATCCTTATCTCCAGCCTAGACCTCTCTTCTGCGTGCCAGTCCACTGGACAGCTCACACCCACGTCCTCTCCAAAGAGCCCTGTTTCAAATGAGCAGAGCTATCCCCAGCCTCCGCTCCCCAGCTCCGCGATGGCCCTGCCCTCCAGGGGCTGCCACTGCGGGTGCTGCGTTTTCTCCCCAAGCCCAGGTCCTGGCAAGTCTGCCGCCTCCTCCCCATCTCCACCCCTATCACGCCTAGTTTAGGCTTCCACTCCCTCCCACCAGGGCTGCTGGTACAGCCTCCTCCCTGGCTTTGCTTTCTCTGCAGCCAAATCTTGCCTCATTAGTCTCATGTTGAACATCTATCAACAACATGACCAGAGCTGTGTTCTGCAGACACACCCAGAGGGCCCTTCCGGAGGGGAGTAGGCAGTACCAGGCTTGGGAGCTCGGTGACTAGAGAGGAAAGGAGGCGCCTGCATGGGGGGAAGTAAGGAGGGGGGGCTTGCAAGGTGAAAATGGGGTGGTCAGGCTCCTTGACCCCTAAACTCCATCTCTTCCCTGTCCTGCAGATCCACCCTCTGCCCCTGACCGCAGCCCATCAGGTTTGGTCCATCAGGGACCTGGCTGGGCCTCATTCGGATAACTAAGCAGAGCAGGTGTGAGTGTGGCCACGTGCCTCCCACAGACCAAATGGATGTCCGTGAAAGAGAAGCCAAAGGTGGCTGCGCATCAGACACCCCTCAGTGAGTGCCAGTCCAGCCCGGTCCCCTTTCTCAGGTCCTGGGAGCCGGCGTCTCTGAGAGCAGAACCCCTTCCCTGTCATGGACATCAAACACAAACGACACAAACTGCAGTGGCTTCTTTAATCCCTGCAGTCCCTTTCTCACAGAATATTTACAAACAGGAACGGGGAGGGCAACTTGGCCACCGGGAGTGGGCTGGGGAGTGGGGGCAGTGCTAAGTCACGCCCGTGCGCAGGGCGAGTTCCTGAGGGGGCCCGGGGCCGTGTGACCCCGAGCCCTGAGGACTGGGCAGTCCGAGCAGGCCCGCAGCCAGGCGGAGGCTGGCCCCGCGGCTCAGGCCAGGTCCGTGGCGGGCGAGCCCCGGTGCTTGGAGGCCAGGAGCAGGCGGTTGTTGTTCCGCAGGCTGCGGACCTCCTCCTCCAGAGCCGCTCGGTCCGCCTTCTCCTGGGGTGAGGGGCGAGGATGCAGAGTCAGAACCGTGGCCCCTTTCCTGTGTGGCCCCTGCCATTTCCCCGCACACCCAGCAGCCCCGCACCTTCTGCAGGTCCTCCTGCAGCGTCCTGAGCAGCGACTCCAGGTGAGAGACCTTCTCCGACAGGCTCCTGGGTTCTGGCCTGAGCACATGGGGGTCAAGACTCAGCGGGACGGAGGCCGAGGTCATACCACAGCCGGCCCCAGCCCCCCGGAGAGGGCAGCCCGTCTTCTCAGACATATGTATGGGCTTAAGTGCACTGCGTGGGCACAGGGGGCGGTCACACAGACGCGGTGAAGGGGCTAGGTCAGGGAGGGGAGCCTTACTCAGCATCAGGTTTTGGGGTTCCTCTGGCTTCTCCACTCTCCGGGATGGGCTGTCCTGCGGGGAAAGAGGAACCCCAGGTCGGTAAAGGAAGTAAGAGCCCCGTCCCGGCCCCTCCCCTCCCCGCAGCACACACCCTCAGTGGCCTCACCCTCCCGGGACAGCGACTCCAGGATGGTGTTGCAAGTGGAGGCGATTTCTGAGATGGACTGCCACTCGTCCTCCAGGGTCTCTGCGCCCGCCTCGGACATGACTGGCACAGGAGGGGGCTCAGCCAGGGAAGCCCGGGCCAGCCTGCCCACCGCCCACCTCCCGTCCTGAGCTCCACCGGGCTCCACACTCACTTTTGCTGATGGAGTTTCGGAGAGACAAGGTTCGTGGCAGGAAGGAGGCCCTCATCTCTGGGGCCGGGTCACCTCTGTCCTCCTCGCCGCTGGGGCCGGCCGGCCCGTCCTGAGGGGCGGGAATGGGTGAGGACATTGTGACGCCGACTGTCACCTGTGCCCACCCTGCCTGAAGGGCTCCAGAGCTTTGTTCCTGCTCACCTGGGCGGGGGGCGTCTCCCTGCCGGCACCGGGAGGCGCCGGCTTGGCCTTGGTGGCCAGCAGGAGGTCTGGGGTGGTGTTGGGCAGGACCGGGGCCTCATCTGACAGGGAGCTGGGAGAGCACGGAGAGCTCAGCAGAAGCTGCACTGCGGCCCTTGCTAGCAGAGGCCGCCTGTCCAGCCTCACTGGGGGGTGGGGGGGCGGCGAGGCGGGGGAGGGCGCCAGAGGGTGCACCTGCAGGGCGACGGCGAGCTCTGGCTGTGCAGGAACTCGGTCCTCTCCTCTGCTAGGTCTCCGGGCCCCGGAGGGCCGCTGCCGCCATCACTCAGGCACACGTGCAGCAGCTGCTGCGTGGTGGGCATCAGGCCCACTTCGGGGGCCTCCTCCTGCACTGGCTCCGGGGCCCCACGCCTGCTGGGCTCCTGCAGGGACAGCCTGTACAGCTCCGAGAAGCTCCTGGGGAGGAAGGGCAGCTTCAGGCGGGAACACCTGGTCCCCAGCGTCCGCATCCCCAGCCCGCCATCAGCTGTGGGGCTCCCCTCCAGGGCCCTCACAATGAGAACGTTAGCCTGGCTACAGGCCGTGTTCCCGGACCCGGATTCAACCCGCAGTGCCGCCCTGCGTGTCCAGGGCAAATCACTCTGTCCCTGCTCCTCCTGTGAAATGGGGTAATAGTCCTGAGCTCACACCACGCTGTGAGGACTAAATAGTAACACAGGTATGCCCGGCTGGTGTTGCTCAGTGATTGAGCGTCAACCAATGAACCAAATGAAACAGGAGATCACGGTTCGACTTCGGTCAGGGCACATGCCTCGTCTCAGGTTCCATCCCCAGTGTGGGGTATGCAGGAGGCAGCAGATCAAGGATTCTCATCACTGATGTTTCTCTTTCTCTCTCCCTCTCTGAAATCAATAAAAATATTTTCAAAAAGATAACACGGGCCGAAACCAGTTTGGCTCAGTGGATAGAGCATCGGCCTGCGGACTGAAGGGTCCCAGGTTTGATTCTGGTCAAGGGCATGTACCTTGGTTGTGGGCATGTCCCCAGTTGGGGGTGTGCAGGAGGCAGCTGATCGATATTTCTAACTATCTCTCTCCCTTCCTCTATGTAAAAAATCAATAAAATATATATATTAAAAAAAAAGATAACACGGGTAAATCTTTTAGCATAGAGACCCAAAAGCTACTGTGTGGGGACCAGATCTGGCCTCTGCCTCTTCTCTTTCAGGTGTGCCTGTTTCTTTACTAATGCAAGCTAAGAAAGGCTGAAAAATGCCGAGACCGGTTTGGCTCAATGGATAGAGCGTTGGCTTGGGGACTGAAGGGCCAGGGTTCGATTCCGGTCAGGGGCATGTACCTTGGTTGCGGGCATATCCCCCAGTGGGGGGTGTGCAAGAGGCAGCTGATCGATGACTCTCTCTCATCGATGTTTCTGGCTCTCTATCTCTCTCCCTTCCTCTCTGTGCAAAATCAATAAAATATAAAGGCTGAAAAAAATCAGAGCGTTTCATGACACGTGAAACTCATAAAGCTCAAATGTCAGTAACTAAAGCTTCAGAACCCCGCACACCATTTACCACGGCCCCGAGGCCCCGCGGGGCCGCCGCCGCCCTCCCCCGCCCGCGGCGCTGACCTGCGGGGCCGGCCGCCGTCGTCGGGCGGCAGGACGGTGACGCAGACCTTGGGCGCGGAGCGCAGCAGGCGGGCGGCGGCCGCGGGGCCCAGGGCGGGCAGCGTCTGGCCGCACACGCGCAGCAGGCGCGCCCCGGGCCGCAGCCCCGCCGTCTCGGCGAACGTGAAGCGCTCCACGTGCGTGACGAAGCCCTCGGCGTCCGCCTCGAAGCCCAGGCGGCCCTGGCCGTCGCGGGGCAGCGCCAGCTCGCGGGTCTCGCAGCCGCGGCTCACCAGCTGGGGGGGGGGGTGAGCGGCGATCGGAGGGGCGCCCCGGCCCAGGCCGCACAGCCCTCCCGGGGCCCCGCCCCAGGACCCCGCAGCCGCGGCCGAACGGGCTGGGGCTGCCCAGCGACGCCCCCCAGCGGCTCCCCCGACGCGCGGAGGGGGGCTGCGAGCGCCGCCCTGCCTCCCCCTTACCCTCCCCCGCCCCCGGTCTCACCTGCAGGCGCCCTCCGCCCCGCCCCCGCCCCGTCTCACCTGCAGGCGCCTCCCCCGCCCCCGGTCTCACCTGCAGGCGCCCCCCGCCCCGCCCCGCCCCCGCCCCCCGTCTCACCTGCAGCCGCGCCACCACCTCGCCCACGGCCTGCCCGGGGGGGCCGTCGAAGCGCAGGGCGATGGCCTCCCCGCGGCCGTGGTACAGGTCGAGCTGCCGCTCGGAGAAGGTCCAGGCCAGCACGTCGCGGCAGGCGCAGTTGAAGACCACGCGGCCGTCGCGGGGCGCCACGAGCACCAGCGCCTCGGCGGACACGCCCAGCAGGCAGGGCACCTCGGGCGGCTCGGGGTCCGGGCTGCCCGCCAGGGCCCCCGCCGCGCCCCGGGCCCCGGGCGCCGCGCGCACGCCCCACACCAGCGCGCCCGCCGCCTGCAGCTCGGCGCCCGCGCCCCGCGGCGCCGCCCGCCGCCGCACGCCCAGCGACGGCAGCCCGAAGCGCGACGCCGCGTCCAGCGACGTGGTGGTCACCTCGTTGGCCGCCAGGTCCTGCAGGTACTGCTGGCGCGTGCGCGTGGCCATGGTGTGGAACTGGCGCGCGTGGCCCGCCGCCTGCTCGCCGTTGAGCGCCTTGGCCAGCAGGAAGGCCCGGAAGTCGGCGTCGGCCGCGAAGGGGCCTCCACCTAGGGGCAGAACCGGACCAAAGGCTGGGGTGTCCTGGGTGCGGCTCACGGCCACCCTACGGGAGGAAGACGGCAGTCAGGGCCGCGGGAAGGCTCCGGGGGCGCCGGGGCGGGACGGGCAGGGGCGCCCACCTGTAGGACGTGTGCGGGGTGCAGGGCGCCTGGGCCCGCACCACCAGGAACACGTGCTGGAAGTGCGAGCGGATGGTGCTGGGGCAGAAGGCCTTGCTGCCCGGCTCCTGGAACACGATGGTCACGATATTGTTGCCGATGTGGCGCTTGCGCAGGAGCTGCAGGTCAGATGGGGGGAGTGGGGGTGAGGGGGACCTGTGTCCCCCCCTCCCCCCAGTTCCTCCGCATGTAAGCAGGGCGGAGCCTGGGCACCGGGGATCCGCCCTTTGAGGAGCATTAGCAGCCAGGAGGGCTGCTGGAGGTCAGCAGAGCTCAAGCCAAGACTCAAAGATTGCCATCCCCACAGCACCCCTCCCGGGGCCCTCACAACACCCCAGCCCCCCACAGCACCCCTCCCCGGGCCCTCACACCTGCTGCTGGTTGTTGGGGGTGTAAGGCAGCATTGTGGACACGTGGAACATGATCTCGTGGTCCTGGTACACCGTGTAGAGTGAGTGCGTGCCGGTGGAGTCGGCTGGGACACAGGGAGAAAGGGTGGTCTGGGCGGCTTGCCCACCATCCCTGCCCGGCGCCAGGAGCCGCTGTGCCCCCGCCGGCAGGTGGAACCCTTCCTGCACCAGCCCATGGCCAGGCCTCGGGGTTGTCAGCCTCTGTGGCTCCCTGTCCCCCCCCCCGCCCCCCAGGCTCCAGCCGCCAGCCTGGGGTCAGGTTGGGGTGCTGACAGAATGAAGACAGAAATAAGAAATGGCCTGTTAAGAGGGAGGCAGGACAGATGTCCTAGGAGAGGACAGAGAGAGAATGGAAGGCATAAGCGGGGCAATCAGAGGAAGGGTCGCCCCAGTGCCAGCCCCAATCCCTGTCCCAGCTACCCAAAGAACCCTCCATTCCTGGCCCCGCCCCTAGGACAACGAGACAGAAAAGTGACAAGACCATTGGTTCGCACCAAAGCACCCTGCCCCTCAGCACGGGTCTGCCCCCCCCCCCCCCGCCCCCAGCTTCCTGGGCCTCAGAGGGGATTGTTCCACTGATTTTATTTTTTTTAGAGGGAGAGAGAGAGAAACATCGATGTGAGAGACACACATCAACTGGTTGCCTCCCACATGCCCTCTAACCAGGACCGGGGATTGAGCCTGCAACGGAGGCATGTGCCCTTGCCCAGAGTCAAACCCGGGACCCTTCAGCCCGCAGGCTGGCGGGGGCTGGGCCTCACTTTTGGTGTCCAGCTGGGCCCGGTAGCTCTCAAAGCCTTTGAGCCGCACCACGTCGCCCAGCAGCGTGAGGAACTGCATGAAGGCGGGTCCTGCCTCCTGGTTGTTGTACATCTCCTCTTCCGAGCCCTGGCCCGCCCGGCAGTACAGGATGCCCACCTTGCGCTGGAAGCTCAGCTGGGGGCAGGGAAGGCACAGGCAGAAGACACAGGCCTCAGTGCCCCCCAGCCCCCCCCCGGACCCCCCAACACCGGGTCTGGGGGAGCGGATGGGACGCTGGCCTGCAGGCTGGGCTGCCTGGGTGCCCAGCCCTGAGCGCCGCCTCTAAGCTGTGTCCTCGCCTATCGGCAGGGTTTGCCTGTGTGCCCAGCGCTCAGGAGGTGGAGCAGTCCCAGGTGGGACAGGACAGGGAGGGGGTGGAGCTCCCGTGTCCACAGAGGAGATGGTTCATGGAAAGGATCCTACATAGGGTGCCCCGGCCTCGAGATATATTCACATCCTCCTCATCTCAGAGCTAGCCTGCCCCCTCACACCCAGCACCCCACCCCAGCCTCTGAGGCCTTGCGTCCCACACCACCTCTGCTCCTTGTCTGCTCCCGGCTCCTTTCCACCCGGGGTCAACTGCACCACTCGGCTCGGGGGCCCCGCCCCCCTTCAGCTCTGGCCTCCCCTCTTCATGCCAATCCTGTCCATACCATGGCCCCCTCTTTAATTTCACCCCCAAGACCTGCAGCCCACTCCCACCCCAGCTCCTAACCCCCAACTCCCTCCCCAGCCCATCAGATCCTCAAGGTCAGGCTCTCGGGCACGGGGTCTGGGCCGGCCCAGGTGATGCGGTGGCTGGTCTGGGTCTGATTGACGGAGGCCGGGCTCCAGGTGGCCGCCCGCAGCCTCTCCAACAGCCAGCTTCCTGGGGCTCCCTCCCTGCCCGGGACCGCGGTCGGGGCTAGGTGCGTGGAGCTGGGCAGGCGGGGTCAGACCTGGCCTAGCGCTAGGGCTGGGCTCCCACCACTCACCACCTGCTCGTCCAGCGTGAGCAGGGTGCGCGGCACCTTCGGCGAGGCGGAGCCCAGGCGCAGGCAGGAGAGGCTCAGCTTGGGCGCCACGTGCTCCAGAAGCTTCCGCGGAGACAGGCCCCTGGGGGGCCCCGGGGGCAGCACCTCCTCCGAGATGGTGCCCCGGAGGGTCCGGAGCTGAGGGGGAGACGCAGGCGCTCAGGACCCGCACAGGGGGCTGGGGGTGGAACCGCGGTCCGCCCCTGCCCCCGGCCCACCTGCGTGGTCCGCACGATGATCCGGTAGCTGTGCAGAGTGCCCCCTCCGCTGCCCTCCTTCTCCTCCCGCCGCAGGCTCACGGCCACCGGGCCCAGAGCCTCGTCCAGCCCGAAGAAGTTCTGGTGTTCTGAGGGGCCAGACAGCGGCGGCCAGTCCTGCCACCCGTCCACCCGCGCTGGGCCCCACCCGTCACCAAGTCCCTCTCTGAGGCCCCATCTCATCACCTAGTGCAGGCGCTGGACTCAGGCCCCCCGAAGCCCGCCCACATGCTACCACGCCCAGCGCCTGCCCTCACACCAGGCCCTAAGCCCCTCCACCCCTGCGCGCGCGCACACACACACCCCCACCCCTGTGCGCCTGTCCCAGACTGAGGGCCCAGTGCCGGCTTCTCCCCCGCCCACACCTCCCAGGCTCCGGGATGTGTGTGGACCCTCCCTCCTGGACACGGACAAGAACCAGGTTCTTGTTAGCGTGGGCTTTCAGGCCTCAGTTTCCCCCTCTCAGAAATGTAGCTGGGAGCGCTCTCCCAGCCCGGGGGGCATGAGGCAGGTGGGAGCAGAGGGGCGTGCCGGGCTGGGGCGGAGGCGGGCTCGGCTGCAGGGAGGTGGTTAGCGCCGGGCCCAGCGAGCAGCCGGGCCCAGAGGCAGAGCTGACCCGGGGCCGGGCAGGGAAAGGCCAGTCTCAGTCCGCACCGCGGGGACAGTCCGCACCGGGAAGGGGCCTGTGGGCGCCGCCTCACCTTTGTTGTAGAAGTACTTGCGGTAGTAGCCGGCGCCCAGGTCGGCGTGCTCCAGGCTGTAGGCCGAGGTTCGGTTCTGCGGCTCCTCCAGCACCGACACGGCCGCGTTGGGCAGCGCGGGGGGCAGGGGCGGGGGCACGGGCCCGCCCAGGCCCGGCTCGCCCTCGCCGCCCAGCTCGCTCACGAAGCCGGGCGCCTCCAGCAGCAGGTCCGAGCGGGCGGCCGGGGCCGGGGGCCCGGGGCCGGGCTCGGGGTGGCCCGCCGCCCCCCGGGGCCTCGGCGCCCAGTCGAAGAGCAGGCTCTGCACGTCATAGTGGGCGAACCAGCGGGGCTCGGGCACCGGCGGGAAGGCGGGCTCCGGCTCCTCGGCCGGCAGCCCCAGCAGGGCCAGGGGGTCGGAGAAGAGGCGGGGGGGCGCCCCGGCGGGGCGGCCGGCCTCCTCGTGGCTGTGGGCGCGGGCGCGGGGGCTGGCGGGCGTGGGGGGCCGGGCCTCGCCCGCGTCGCTGCCGCTGCGCAGGAGTGGGCCCCGGGCCGCGGCCGGCCGGGGCTCGAAGGTGTGCGGGGTCAGCGGGGGCCGCGCCGGCTGCCGCAGCTTCCGGGCGAAGAGGTCGTCGGTGGGCGCGGGGGCCGCGCCCCGCCTCGGGCTCCCAGCGCCGCCGGCCCACATGGGCGAGCAGCGGGCCTGGCGCTGCCGGGGCCCGGCCACATGGGGGGCGCGGCGCTGCTGGGCGCTGGTCCCGCCGGCCGGTGTCTGCCCTGCGGGAGGAGGGGTGCTCAGACGGGACGGGGAGAAAACAGGAACCCCGGTTCCCAGCCCGGTCCTCCTCCACGCGGGCTGGCTTCCGGCCCCTCTGAGACCATCAAAGCCGCTTCCGCTTTCCTGGCCACTTCCTCTGCCTGGGCTACGGCTTCCAGCCCCCTCCTGCGGCCCAAGGCCGGGAGGGCCGGGCCGGGCGGCCGGGGCCCTGGCCCCGAGGCTGCCAGCCCGCCCCGGCTCCCACTCACACGCCCGGCGCTGGCCGGGGCACCGACCCAGGGCCCCACCACGGCCCGGCCCGGCCCAGGCGGACAGAGGCCTGTGCGGCCGGGACGGGAAACCCGTGGGGCCGGTGGTGTCGGGGTCCTGCCCGCTTGACAAAGGGAGGACGTCCTGTCCCCAGAGGTTTTCCTCCCTGCCCTTCCCGCTTCCTCTGGGGCCCCGAGGAGCTGAGCACCCAGAGGCCAGGTCTCCGTGCCCCGGCCCTCACGGCCCCAAACCTCAAGGACACAGGGGTCCCCAGGGGCACTGGCAGGGCAGCAGGAGCGACAAGAGGACTTCCTTTGGCACAGGAAGTGGCCCCAACTCTGGGCCCAGCCCCCTGCCCAGCCCCACATCCTGAGGAAGGTGCTGGGGTCACACCAGCTCAGTCATGGGACCCAAGTCACACCGGCCCGAAGGACAGGCCTGGCTCGGCCTCTCGCTGGCTGCTGTGGCCGTGCCTGGGGCAGGGGAGTGAGTCCCAATGGCTGGGCCCCTTTTCTGGAGCCGAGACCCGTGGCTGCTGCCTGGCCTCACCGGTGCCGAGGGAGGTCTGAGCCAGGTGACAGGCCGTCCAACTGAGGTCCCTAAGGGGACGCTCTTGCCCGAAGCAATTTCGCGTCAGAGCTCGGGTCTGAGCCTGGGTCTGTCCATTTCCATAAACAGTGCGGTGCCGCCCACGCCTGCCCCTGTGTGCACAGTGCGGGGCAGATGGGGGCTGGGCCGAGGCTCAAGATCTCACAGGATGTAAGGCTGACACCCGGGCCCCGGGGACCTGCTAGGTGCGGAAATGTGTGCGGCCAGGGGCAGGTGCAGAGGGGGGGTGTGAACCCAGGATGGAGGTGGCCGCTAGGGGTGCCGGCATCTGCTAGTGCTGTGGTCGGCAAACTGCGGCTCTAGAGCCACAGGTGGCTCTTTGGCCCCTTGAGTGTGGCTCTTCCACAAAATACCACGGCCTGGGCGAGTCTATTTGGAAGAAGTGGCGTTAGAAGAAGTTTAAGTTTAAAAAATTTGGCTCTCAAAGGAAATTTCAGCCCTAACCAGTTTGGCTCAGGGGATAGAGCATTGGTCTTCAGACTGAAGGGTCCCGGGTTCGATTCCGGGCAAGGGCATGCACATCCCCAGTAGAAGGTGTGCAGGAGGTAGCTGATCGATGATTCTCATCGATGTTTCTAACTCGCTATCCCTCTCCCTTCCTCTCTGTAAAAATCAATAAAATATGTTTTTTTAAAAATAAATTTCAGTTGTGCTGATATTTGGCTCTGTTGACTAATGAGTTTGCTGACCACTGTGCTAGTGGGTCTGTATACATCATCCAATAACACTGTGTGGGCTGGGCTGGGGGCTGGGGCAGGGGTTCTGTGCACCCCTCAGCTAGTTCCAAACCGAGCCAGAGGGCGTCTGCAAGGCTGCCTCCTCCTTGTTCCTCCCAGGACAAGCCCTGAGCTGACCTGAGCCTCTGATCTCTAATCCCTAAAATGGGGTGAACCAATCCCTTCCCTTCCCAACACTCTGGGGAGACTGGAGGGTGAGGGAAAGCTGGCCAAGTGTGAGGTGTGGAGAGGCAGATGCAGCCCGGCTCCGTGTGCCCAGCTCCGGGCCTGGCTGTGCGCTGTGGTGAGTGAGGGGACGGAGGAGGGGTCGGTCCAGCCCTGCCATGTGAGCCGAGCTCCGTGTGTGCGAGCTCGCGGGCTGCGCTCACTCTGTCTGGCCCGGGGCCAGGCTCGGCCGTGCCTTGGGGGTGTTCCTGGGCTCTGCCCCCCACCCAGCAGCTTCACACAGGGCCCATTGAGGCCGGGACATTCCTCCCGCCTGTGTCACTGGGGAAGGGGGGCTGGCCCCGCCCCCACAGATCCGGAAGGCCCGGCTGCCCCAGGAGAAGGCGCTGGATGCTTCCCAGCACATCTGGAGGTCACGACCCTCCTGCTGCTGCCAGGGGTGCGACAGATGTTTCCTCCGGCCTGGCCCGGGCACGGGGCGGTGTGCAGAGGCGAGGGAGGAGGCCACCCCGGGAGAAGGGGAGCCCCCAAACAGGGGAGCCCCGCAGCCAGCCAGCCGCAGGGCGGCCGCCTCCCTCCTCCGCACCCTCGCACGCCGGCGAGGCAGCCAAGCAGTCAGAGTGGGACCTGGAGCCGCAGGGACTCGGCATGCCGGCTGGGGCCGGAGCCGGAGCCGGAGGGCGGGTGGGAAGCCACAGGCAGCCCGGGCGGCGGGGCCCCTCCCGCACACCCGGCGCCGGGTCCGCCGGTCCGTCCTTCCCGCCCCCGCGCCCGCCGGTACCTCTGGGCTCCCGCCTGGGCCGCCTCCCGCGCCGGTGTCCCGCTGCCGGCTCTCCGGCCACCGCTCCGGGCGCCGGCTCCGCCTGGGGGCGGGGCCACCCGCGGGGCGGGGCCTCGGGCGGGGCCACCGGGGGCGGGGCCGGCCAGGAGCCGCTGGGGAGGGCAGCGCCGGCCAGGCCCAGCCCAGCGAGTGTCCGGCTCTCGGGTCCAGGCCCGGCCGAGCCGCACGAACAAGCATGCCCGCCCCCAGGCCACCTCGTGTCCAGCTCTCCAGGCCGGAGCAGGTGCTCAGACCGCTGCTGCCGGCCACTGGCTGAGCACTGGGTCCTGCTCTACACACTTTGTCCTGAAAACCCCGCAGACAGCTGTCACCTTCCTTATGGGGGAGAAATTAGTTCAGAGGAAGGTCTGGGCCACATAAGGCCAGTTACCAGGGCTGATAATTGTAGGAGCCAGCCACGGTAACGGTCTTCACATGCCATACAGGTGAGAAGAAATGAAATAAAATGGATTTTAGGTCAAGGCTTGAAAAGGGGATGGGCTAGTAAGGAAGGGGACTAACAGTGTGTCTTCTGAACTTTCTCCATCCCCATCCTTTACACTCCTCTCCACACTCACTCACTGACTGGCCAACTCTCCCTTCCACCCAAACATCCCCACACAGAGTAGAAAGCACCAACCAAAATCAAAAATAGTGTTATTAATTCTGGTGTCTCCGAAGCACGGAAGAAAAAAAGGAACAGAAACCACCCTTCCCACACTCAGCCCGGTCCCGGCCCTGCAGGCAGTGCGGCCAGAGGCCCAGTCCTGGCCGCAGGCTGAAGCGGGACCAGCCCATGGGTTTGGCTCTGGGCCCGGCTGGGAGGCTCCTGCCTCAGTTTGGGAGTCCAGGCCCTGGACTCGGGTTGAGAGTCAGGGGTCAGGGTGAGAGTTCTGGGCCACTTAGTCTGGCGCTCTGGCTAAGGCGACCAGAGGTCAGGTTCAGCCGTGGACGGAAGCCAAAACCCTTGGTCCTGTGGTCCAGCGGAGGCCGAGGCCATGGTCCAGGTGACTGCGTCCGGCGGGATCCAGCGCGGGCGCTCAGTACTGATGGTCCAGCAGGGGCTGGGCGGCGGGGCTCTCCCGCTCCTCGGAGGCGGCAGGCCAGGCTCCCGGGGCTCCCGGGGGTGTGCCGCCCTCGGGAGCACTGCTGTCCAAGCAGGGGACGTCCCGGGCTGCTCTGGGGGGTGAGGCGTCGGTGCTGATGTCCAGGCTGAAGCTGAGGTCTAGGGGCGCCTGGGGGAGGGCAGACAGGTTGGTAGAAGAAACCGGAGCTGCCCAGAACCCAGTCCTCCCACAGGATCCTTACCTGAGACTTGGGGGTGCCTTCTTTGGGGCTCCCTGAGGCTGGCTCCCCCTCGGGTCCCCCTAGCCCCTTCCGACCCCCCAAGCTCCACTTCCCACTGGGACCTTCGGAATAGAGGAGACCAGGGCCAGGGGGCCTTGAGGGCCGGGGACCCTCAGTGGGGGCAGGTGAAGCGGGGGGCTGTCCAGGGAGCCGAGGGGGTGGCCACTGCAGCAGAGGAGGGGGGCGGCCATCACCAGAACTGCTAAGGGAGGGCCTCGGGCCCCAGCCAGCGCCTGGCGGGAGGAGCTGGTCGCCACTGCCTGTGGAAGACAGATAAGAGGGCAGAGACTCAGCCAGGCCGGCCCGGCCCCTCGCTCACTGGCTCGGCCTGGCCTCGGGCTCACCTGCCGTGTTCTCGGGCGTGGGGTGCGCCAAGGGGGGGTTATTGCTGAGGGCAGTCAGGCCGCCGCCTCCGCCACAGTCTGAGTCGTCTACGTTCCCGCCACTATTGCAGCCGGCACCGCAGCCCTTGTGAAGCCTGGGGGGAGGCGAAGAGGTTGGTGGAAAGGCCAGAGACCTCACAAACGGAAGTGCTCAGTTCGGGACAAGCCTCTGACATTCCTGAGCCCTGGGGTGCCGTCTGCTCTCCCGGATCTGTCAGGAAGGCATTCCCCACGGCTCGCAGGCTAAAGGCCAGCTTCGGCTGGGGGCTGGGGTGGAGCCAAGTCAGCTCTGGGAAGGGGTCAGCTCTTGGCTCCATCCTGGCTCCAGCACTTCCTCCCCGAGACCCTGGAGGAAGTGGCTTCATCTCTCCGAGCCTCAGCTTCCTGCCGGTGAACCAGCCCCCAGGCGGGGGCGGGGGTGGGAGGTGGAGGGGCAGCGAGGGCTCACCTTTCCCAGCTCTGCAGAAGCCAGCGGGCAATGGCGCCCAGGCTGACGGGGCCCCCCCACAGCGCCCGCAGCTGGGGGTGGCTGCCCGCCAGGGAGGTGGTGAGGGGCGACACGTAGATGGGGTAGCCGAGAGGCTGGTCACAGGAGGAGTTGATCATGTTGCGGAGCGCCTGCTTGGCGTTCTGGATGCTGCCGCGCTCCGGGTTGCGGTTGCGCAGGAACACCAGCTCCTGCTGCTGCCCGGCCCACAGGCCGCGCACGCACTCCCGGTTCACCTGCGGAACAACGCAGGGTCAGGGCTGCGGGGGACGGGGCCGGGGGGCTGCGGGAGACAGGGTCAGGGGGCTGCGGGGGGACAGGGCAGGCCAGGGGGCTGTGGGGGGACAGGGCAGGCCAGGGGGCTGCAGGGGGACGGGGTCGACAGGGCCCAGGGGGCTGCGGGGGGACAGGGCAGGCCAGGGGGCTGCGGGGGGACGGGGTCAGGGGGCTGCAGGGGGACAGGGTTGTGGGGCTGTGGTGGGACAGGCCAGGCAGGGCCGGGGCGGTAACCCACCTTGATGACGCGGAAGCTGAGGTGGCGCCGGTTGAGCATGATGATCTTGTACTCGTCGGAGGCGTCGTCCAGCACGTGGCGCAGTGCCAGCAGCGAGGGCGTGTTGCTCAGGATGGCGCTGCGCCAGGCCGGGTCGCCCTCGTGCGAGATGACCAGCCGCTCCTCGTTGGCGGCGATGGCGTCGTACAGGGCGGCGGGCTCCTCGTACTCGTCCGGGGACGTGAAGTGGTCCTGCGGGAGGAGCAGGGGGCGGGTCAGGGCCAGCCTGAGCGGCTGCAGCCCCCCGCCCCTCTGCTCGGGCCGCCCCTCCCACCTGGTGGAGCTTGAGGGCCATGCGGACCCCGGGGGCCACCACGCGGTGCAGCAGGTCCATGTCGGCGAAGACCCACTCGTCCCGCGGGGAGGTGATGCGGAAGTCACCCTTGAAGAGGGCGTGCAGGCCGTACAGGAAGGGCTCCAGGCTGGGGAGGAGCAGAGGTGAGCCTGGGCTGCCCAGCTCCGGCTCCAGGCTGGGGAGGAGCAGAGGTGAGCCTGGGCTGCCCAGCTCCGGCTCCAGGCTGGGGAGGGGCGAGGTGAGCCTGGGCTGCCCAGCTCCGGCTCCAGGCTGGGGAGGGCCGAGGTGAGCCTGGGCTGCCCAGCTCCGGCTCCATGGGCAGCGGTCTAAGCTGAGGCCGTTCGTCATTCTGGGCCTCAGTTTCCTCGTCTGGACAAGGTCAGTTTCTGCCCAGTCCCTCCCAGGGAGGTGAGGAGCACAGGTCACGACTAGGGGGTGCCTTGCCCACTAGAGAGCCGCACTGAAGGAAGACCAGAGGAGCCTCCTGCTGGCCTCTGGCCTGGAACTCTCCGTGGGTGGGTGGAGGGGTGACAGGCCCCCGGACGGGGCACTCACCTGGCAGACATGCTGTGCGAGGCGGTCCCCAGGGCCCGGCGGCCCAGCACGCAGAGGCCGAAGCACAGAGTGACCAGCGGCGAGTTCCAATCCTGATCCACGGGCTGTGGCACAAGGACCCCCATCCCCCGAGCCCAGCTCAGACCTGGGACGGGACGTGGGTTGGGTGGGGCTGAGGGTGAGGAGACGGCCCCGGGGAGCGGGGACAGACCTGGCTGCGCCGGGAGGCGCAGTACTGGATCCACTCCAGGTGCACGGCGCAGAAGGAGGGCAGCGAGAGGCCCGAGAGGCGCAGGTCGTAGTCCTCGTCCACGCTCAGGGAGAAGGTGGGGTCCGAGTCGGCGTAGCCGGGCGCCCGGACGGGCCGCAGCGCCGCCGCGATGCCCTCGTGGCTCAGCCACGCCTCCAGCTTGGGCGAGCGGCTCACGTAGTAGATGATGCTCTGAGAGGAGGCCCGGCGTCAGGGCGGGGCCCGTGCCCGGCAGTGCCTGGGCCTGGGCGGGCGCTGCTGCGGGAGAGCCCGGGGACAGGGGCTTCTCCCGGACGCTGAGCAGGGCTCAACCTCCTGAGCCACAGGCAAATCTGCTCTCCCCTGGGCCACGCAAGCACCCCTCCTTAGCGCGGCCTGGGAGGGCCCTGCACCGTGGCAAACGCTTGCTTCAGAAGATGCCCCATGTGTGAGGGAGACGGAGGCTCGGACAAACCGCAGACCTGCCTACATTCACACAGCAGGGTGACTGAGGTGAGGTGGGATCCCAGGACCTTCAATCCCATGATGCCATGGGGCCCAGGCCCCAGAAGCTGGGAAGGCGGGCTGAGTGAGTGGGGCTGCCCACAGGCCAGTGCATGACAGCCACAGGACCTACCCCCAGAAACAAACCATCCTGCGCCCAGTCAGGGCCCGCCGGACCCCTGAGAGCCTGCTGGGCCAACGGAGGAGCCACGCTGAGGGGCCCCTCAGCTCAGTCATGGCGGCGGGAACGGAAGCAGCACCGTTTCCCTGGGGCTGAGGGAGGAGGGGGCAGGCTGGAGAGGGCTGGCTGCCCCTGCACCCGAGGAAGGCTACCAGCAGCCTAAGGCGTGAGCGGGCAGCATGGCTATGAGGTCACTTTGGGCTCCAGGCAGACCAGTTCCTGGCTGACCATCTCCGCAGGCTGGGCCCATAAGCCTCCAAGCACCAGAAAATGCGGGAGGGGCGGGCCTGGCACAGTAAGGGCTGCCCACCGGCCTCCGTGCTACTGCCCCCGGCCAGCCTTCTGAAGCAGTGCTGAGGCGGGCACCCAGCCTGCACAGCCCGGGAGGCCTCTGCTTCCCGCGGGCACAACAGGCCCCACACGGGAGCGGGTGGGGTGCCCGGCGGAGCGGCCGTACCTTCACGTAGTAGGTGATGAGGATCTTGCGGAGGTCGAAGACCTGCAGCATGGAGGCGGCGTTGTTGTCGCTGATGCTGTAGCCCTCCAGCACGTACTTGCTGGCTGTCACCTCCCAGGCCAGCCAGCGCTGCCCGAAGGCGGCGTTGAAGGACAGGACCCGCGGCAGGTGGCCGGGCTCGCAGCAGCAGCAGCCCTCGTCCTCCTCCACGCCCTCGGTGATGGCCTCCACCTCGCGCTGCTGGCAGTACGTGCCTGCGGGGAGCGCCCGTTCAGAGGACCCCAGGCCCTCCTCCCAGCGAGTGCACAGGGGTGGCAGTCACCCTCCCAGCGGGGTGCTGTGTGCGTGAGCTGACTCCAGGGGCACATGGGCGGCAGGGGAGGGCGCGGGCTCTGGTCCCTCTCAGAGACACTGACGCTCACAGAGAAGGAAGGGGCTTTGCTCAGGGTGACGAGCTTAGATGCCTGTGCACCATCTGCGGCCGCTTTGAAGCGGGTATCCAGTGTGTGCGTCTCTCTGTGGGGAAGAAGCTAGTTCACCCGCGGCGCGATGTGTGGCACCCAGCCTGGGCCACGGCCACGGCCACGGCCACGGCCACGGGGCAGGCCAGCAGGCACTGGCGGGAGAACGCAGAGCTCCAGGCCCAAGCCTTCGCCACGCAGCCCGCTCAGTCACATCAGCCCCAAAGGCCCGGCAGGGACAGCCGTGGCCAAAGGAGACCCTGCCACCCACTGCCCAGCCCGGCAAAGCCAGGAAGGAAGAGTGCCTTGCTCAAGGTCACCCGGAAAACGGCAGAGCTGACTGGCACCAGCCTGCACACACTGTGACACAGCAGCTCACCCCGGAACTCCAGGCCGCGCAGCTGGAAGGTGACGAGGCCGTTGCCGACCTCGATGAGGTGCACCAGGGCGTTGAGGTAGTCGGAGGCCAGCACGAAGCAGTCCCCGGGGCCGTAGTTGCCCCAGCGGCCCAGCACCAGGTCCCCGCACAGCGTGTGCTGCAGCGAGCGCGTCAGGTGCTCGTAGAAGATGGAGTTGAGGTTGTTGTCATCGGCGCCTGGGACCCAGCACAGACAGGAAGTGGACAAGGTGACAAGTAAGCGAGGCTCCTCCTCAGGAGACCCACCGGAAAGCCCCGGGTGGCTGTACGCACCGGGGTTCCGGTCCAGCTGGGTGACCAGGCGGGTGTTGGAATGATCCACGCGTTTAGTGCTGTTTGAGGAGAGGGACAACACGGTGACCTCAGGTGGCAGTCCCGCCGGCCCCCTCACGTCCCGCTGACCACCCCACGCCCGGGCCCATGCCAGCGGCACCGTCACTTAGGAGGAGGCCGAGACTCAGGGCAGAGGACTCACCCCGGACCACGCGCCAAGAAGCCCAGGGAGTGGGCCCGAGGCCTGGGTTTTGCCCTCATCGGACCACCCACCTGAAGCCCACTCTGCCTGGCACCCCGCCCGCCGCAGGGCCCCAGCTGCCCCCACCCTGCCTCAGGCAGCAGCCCGCCTCCGGGCCCTTGGGATGAGGTGCCGTCTCCCCCAGACTCACTTGTAGTCGCGCTCCCAGAACTTGAGGGGCCGCGCGTAGGACATGATGAAGACGGCGCTGCCCAGCAGGGGGTTGAGGGGCGTGGAGAAGAGCGCCGAGAGCAGGGCCTGGACGAACAGCATGGCCGAGTCTGGGCGCGACGAGTCAAGGAGGCGGCCAGGACGTTGGACCCTCCCGCCCCCTCACCCCCTTCAACCCGCCAATCCATCCCGGGCACCCCATCCCGAGCCACGGTCCTCTCTGCACCCCCACCAGGAGCGGGCGTAGGCCGGGTACGTGGCACGGCGAAGGGCTGGGCGAAAGCGTGGAAAGCCGAGCCCCAGGTGATCTGCCAGGGCGCGATGTAGGTCAGCACAAAGCGCAGCTTGTACAGCAGGTCCCACAGCTGCAGGGTCAGAGGGAGAAGGTCAAAGACATGAGGTCACTCACAGAGTGGGGTCTACCAAGTGCCCACTCAGAGCCTTGGCGCACCCCACTGGCTGCCCACATGGGAGTCAAGCTCAAGTTCACTCCCAGCCCTCTCTCTGGACCTGGCTCAAAGCCCTTGTTACCATTAGCAACCACACTGAGGGGCACTTAATTCATTCAGCCACTCGAGAGCTTTCCATTGCAGACTCCCTTCACAGCCGGAAGCTGAGGTTCAGAGGACGGAGCGCGGAACAGGACTGGCTCAGGCCATCCCTGTCAGTGAGGAGGCTGGCCTCGACTATGGGACCAAAGTCAAGACACAGTCACAGGCGCTGCGCTCAGAGGAGACGGCTGGCTCCCTGTCACCATGGGCCAGACCAGACCAGGCCAGAAGGCCCAGCGAGCAAGAGGCTTGGGCCCACGCAGCCGCACGACGGCAGGACCCAGGGCAGAGCCAGGACCAGTGGTTTGTTCACTGTGAGCCCAACTCAGAGAGGGTTTGTTGTTGTTTTAGTTCTTCTTTAAAATATTTTTATTGATTTTAGAGAAGGAGAGAAATAGAGAGACAGAAACATCAATGATGAGAGAGAATCATTGATCGGCTGCCTCCTGCACACCCCCCACTGGGCCTGTGCCCCTGGCCTGTGCCCCTGGCCGGGACTCTTCAGTCCGCAGGCTGACGCTCTATCCACTGAGCCAAACCTGCTAGGGCTGCAACTCAGCTCTTAACTGGGCTCCAGGGCTGTTGCTGCCAAGGGGCAGAGCTCAGAGGTCGGTGTCCGAGAACAAGGCCAAGACCCATCTACTGCTTACAAGACGGGTGGAGAGGTATCGTCATTCAGAGGAAGACCGGGATTCACATGTGGGTGGGGCCCAGCCAGTGTGGCTCCGTGGTGGAGCATTGATCTATGGACCATGAGGTCTTGGGTTCAATTCCCAGTCAGGGCACATGCCCAGGTTGCAGGCTCGATCCCTAGTGTGGGGTGTGCAGCCAGTTGACGCTACTCTTTCTACCCCTCTCCCTTTCTCTCAAAAATCAAATAAATATATCTGTGTGTGTGTGTAAATAAACACAAAAAATAGCTGGCCACCAATCTCTCGGGGACCTGAAGCAAATCACTTACCCTGTTAGACCACACCTTCCTCTTGGCCCCTCTAGAAGCTGCCGGAAGGCCACAGCGGTGAGTGGGACGGCAGCTAGAGGGGCGCAGGCCTGAGGAGTCACCTCCAGCCCGCACCGAGGCACAGCTCGGCTGCCCACCCCGCCCGGAGCCCCGTGCGGCTCACCTTGCTGCACAGCAGGGACATGAGGAAGTAGTCGAGCAGAAAGCCCTGGGAGAGGCGCGGGTAGTCGAAGTGGAAGAGCAAGACGGTGAAGGCCAGGGTCAGGTACTGCTGGGGTGGACAGCAGAAGGCCGAGCGCAGCAACTTCAGCCCGGCCACGGTCATCAGCAGCGCCCGGCAGCTACGGGGGAGGGGCAGGCACTGTGTCAGTTGCCTGGCGGGGTGGGGGGGGGGGGGGGGGGGGTGGAGAGGGGCGCTCAGGGGACAGTGGCTGGGCTGTCTGGGCTCTCTGGGCTGGCCCTGCTCTTTGGGCCCATGACACTTGGTCTCTGCCCTCTCAGGGTCCCCCTCCTTAGACCTATCTGGGAGACACACTGCTTTCCAGGAGGCAACTGCTCCGGGGCAGGGAGGGAGGGGCTGGGTCCTCCCTTCGCCTGCGGGCAGAGCAGGCCCGTTTCCTCTGGCCCAGTCCAGAGCAGCGGGCGGGTGGGCGGTCCTCACTAGAGGCAGAACTTGTCCGGGTGGCTGACCACCGTGTGGGCGTCCACGGTGAGGGCGTTGAGCACCACGGCGGGGTACAGGAGGTACTTCTCCACGCACTGCAGGCCGGCGTACAGCTTCTCGAACCACATCACCTGGGCGGCGCCTGCAACACGAGGCGCCTTTGTCAGCCCTGCCCTCCACCCTCCCACCCCAGAGCCGGGCAGGCGTGCCTCGGAGGAACCAGGGGGAGGGCAGACCTGGGCGCAGGGTTCCGGGCCCAGAGACTGTGGGAGGCGGTGATCTCTGCAGCACACAGAGGTGCGGGGACTGGGCAGGGCGCACTGAGGGGCCAGGGCGGTGCTCCAAGGCCTGACAAGGGCTGCCCAGATGCTGCTGCCACCCAGGCGGTGGGTGAGGCCAGGTACACAGTGACCTGAGCTCTAGGGCCCCTCTGAAGGGCTCAGCTCGAGCTAATGATAGCCACATGGAAAAGCTGGCCCAGGGGCGAAATCTGCCATCGTTTTATAAAAACAAGGCCCGTGGACCTCTGTAGACCAGACTGCCCCGCCCGGTGACAACGTGCACCGGGCAGATTCAGTCCGCCGGTAACAGCCGGCGATTCTGGACAAGGGAGCTCTGCAAGGCCCGGACTTCTCCCCTCTCCTCGGAGAGCAGGGTGAGCAGCAGAGGGCAGAGCAGGCAGGGAGGGCACAGCGGGCCAAGCAGGGGCCAAGCGGGCCCAGCGGCAGGAGAGGGCAGTGAGGGCCGTGAAGCAGAGGGCAGCCCAGGAGGAGGCTGCCCCCTGCTGGCACTCTGAGCCGAGAGGACCACATGGATCAGCCAGGAAGTCAGGGCAGGCGGTGGTGGAGGGTCCCGGCACTCACCGCGCACTTCGTACTGGCTGTACTCCAGCGGCTTCAGCACAGGCTGCGACAGGCAGAACCAGGGCAGCTGCTTGCGGAGCTGCGGCAGCAGGTAATGTGTGAAGAAGCCCACGGCCCCGGCCAGTGCGTACAGCACGAACCCCAGCACGGACTGCAAGAGAGGCCAGAGGCTCAGCCACGGGGGGGGCGAGGGGCACAGGGGGCCTTGGGCACAGACTGGGCAGGGGCCTCAGGTAAGCGGGCTCCCGCAAGCACCGGGGGGGGGGCTCGCCACACAGACCTTCAGGGCAATGAAGACGGTGCTGGCGCTGATGGCGAAGGTGAGCACAGCGATCACCACACACATCACCAGGTCGGAGTGCAGGACCTCGCGCTGCGGGGCCAGGAGAAACCAGCTTGGGTGCCCGCCGCCCAGTGGCTGACAACACCTCTCTCAGCGCCCTCCCAGGACCAGAGGCCCGCCCTCGGCCTCACCACGGACTGGCGCATCTTGTCTGGCAGGGGGTCTGGGGGCTCGGCCCGGGCTGTCTCCAAGCTCCGCTCCTCCAGCTCGGGGAAGAGCTTGCTCCGGATCAGGGACCTGGGGGGCGGTGAGAAGAATCAGGTACCAGGTCTGGAGAGAGCCCCCTCCTCCCACAGCCCCAAGGTCAGGAGGTGACAGGCACATGCACAGCCCCACAGACCGCCCCCCAACCCTTGCCATGCAGACACACATACGAACACACGTGTGCACAGACTGGCACACGCAGGCACCCACCAGAGCACGGTGGGGTCGCTGCTCTGCCGGCTCAGGTGGTAGGACAGGGCCACCAGGAGGCCGCAGAAGACGGAGAACAGGACCGGGACGTGCTGCTCTGGCCAAGGAGTCTGGGGAGAGAAGGCATGCCGGCCGGGGCGGGAGGTGAGGGGGGCGCCACCCCCGGGGGGAGCCATTGCTGAGCTGAGCCCGATACACAGCCCGTCCCGGCAGCCCCTGGGCCTCAGCGCGCCCGCCCGTCACCGCTACCTTGATGGCCCCGAGGCAGAAGCCGTAGAGCAGCGCGGCCGCCAGCAGGCTGCGGGAGAGGCTGAAGACCGCGGTGAGCGGGCTGGTGGCGGCTGCGAGGGAGGAAACGGCAGCTGAAGCCCTGCTCCCGCCCGCCGGCCCCACCTCACTGCCCCGCTCCCCTCACCTCCCAGAGGCCAGCCTCCGGGGACCCCATCCCTAGCCCCTCTCTGTCCCCCAGCCCTGAGAGGCCTCCAGAGCTCCTGGCATTTGGGGGTTTAAACCACTTGCTTGGGGAGGAGAGGAACAAACAGCTCTTCAAGTCCATGGTGCCTCCTGGGCCCCCCCCCCCGCTCCCAGCCTCCCAGCCCCCTGCGGGCACGTACCTGTGCCCCCGAAGCCGTGCATGTCTATCTGCTCCAGCAGGTACATGAGGCAGGTGTTGACTTGGGGCAGGAGGCCCAGGAGAAAGACGAAGGGGAAGCACAGGGTAAACACTGGTGGGAGGGCGAGGGAGGACCCGGTCAGCCTGGGGGCTGGCCTAGGCCCACCTGAGGCTGTGCTCCCCGCACCCCTGCAGCCCTGCCCAGGCTCACCAGTGGCCACGTCGCGGGCACAGAAGAAGAAGGAGGCGGAGAAGAGCGTGAGGCCGTAGAGCGAGACGGGCGGGAAGGGCTGGGCCGAGCCGAGGGCGTCCAGCAGCCAGATGAGCAGGCAGCAGATGCAGAAGTAGACCGGCCGGCTGTATGCGATCACCCAGTTGTGGCCCTGGGAAGCGGGCCTGTGAGGAGTGGGGCCTCCCACCGACCACCCTGCACGCATGTGCACACCCAGGCACGTACATGCACACTCAGGCGCCCAGGCCTGGCCCGGGACCGAAGACAGAAAGCCTGGCCGGGAGGGGCAGGAGGACGGAGGACTGGGGCTAGCCGAACCCGCCCCGCCCGGCCCAGCCTCCTGGCACAGGCTGCCCCTCCAGGACTCACGTGCATGGGCGACGCCGCGTCAGGCTGGACGCTCTGGAAGAGAGGGAGCCACATTGCATGGGCGCCAGCACCCTTGGGGGACAGAGGCTACCACTGGGCTGTTATGAGTGACAGGGAAGGACCCTAAACTGCAGAGCCCAGTTCTCCCGTTTGTAAGATGGGGCTGGCTTAGGGGGTGTAGGCGCCTTGCCTTCTGGCTGCTCACCGCCCTCGGACAGGCCGTGGGAAGGGCTGGGAGAGGGGAGGAGCCTGACCTTCAGCAGGGAGTACTGGCAGGAGGCGATGACCAGGCAGAACTGGAAGACCCAGATGTCGGTGAAGAAGCCCTTGAGCAGCAGCAGGTAGCCTAGGAAGGCGACCAGGCTGCTCAGGCCCACACCGAGGACGTTCTCCAGCGGCCCCCGGGTCCTGGAGAGACAGCGGCCGTCACACACCTCCTCACCACTAATGGGCGCCAGACCTGACCACAGAGGCCCCGTCTGGGCCTGAGCTCAGGCCAGGCTCATCCTCTGACCTCTGACCTCTGACCTCTGAGGGGCGTGGCCAGATTGCACCTGCTCCAGGAAGCCACCTTGTGCCCCAATCTGTGCCCCCTCTGGAGACTGAGGGCTCCAGGTGCCACCACTCGTGGGACCTGCCCACCCCCAGCGAAGGCATGCCACCCTCTGACCCAGGCCGTGCTCAGCACACGCTGCTCACAGAGCCTGGGGGACCCAGTACACAGGAAGCCAGGACGGGGGTCCGAGGCCGAACTGTCCACACAGACAACAAGTCATCGGACTTTCTGGGCCTCAGTTTCCCGAGAAATGGGGTGACAAATAGTTTGTCAGCTTTTTTAGGCAATAGGACTCAATCTAGCCAAATGTGCTACAGAAATAAATGACACGATAGACTGAAAAGGAGTTTGAGCAGAGCTTTGGGAGAGAGAGTATTACCCGCCTGGCCATCCCTTTGTGCCCAGGGGAACCTAAAGAAACCCCACTGCAGACTGGTCTTCGGGGCCCCTCAGAGCCCCAGCAGGCAGGCTCTCTGACGCCATGACAGCCTCCACATGCACGAGGTCTGGAAGGGGGGGCTAGCGGCGGGCTCTCACCGGTCCAGCAGGGCCAGCAGGGCCAGCCGCTCGTAGCGCACGGACGTCCAGTGGCCGGGGAAAAGCCAGTACTTGTAGCTGTGCTGGGCTCGGGGCGGGGCCTCCTCCATCAGTGTCTGCTCCTGGGATTCGTGCAGGGAGTCCTGGTCCAGCAGGTCAAACTGCAGTCCCCACAGCCGCGGCCATCAGCCCCACGCCCTCTCCACGGTCCATCCCCCTCCCGCCCTTACCCACGCCCCCCTCCCCCCCCCAGGCACACTGTACTGGTGGACCATTCCCTCCAGCACAGAAAGTCCCCACCTTCCAGCAGCCGTGTACCCTGCCCCGACTCTCCACTGCAAGGGCCTCCTCATGGGCCCAGGTTCCCAGGACATGGCTCACCGCCTGCCCAGGACTATTCCCGCATCTGTCTGTCCTCTCCGCTCGGGCCGCACCTCCTGCCTCTTCCTGGGCTCAATGAAGTTCACCTTGTCCTTCAGGACTCAGTGTCTGTGCTGCTCATCTCCCAGACAGAGGCATCGGGCTCACTCTGACTAGCCACCCTGGCGCCCACCGAACACTGGCTCGGACAGACCTGGTGCCACTGTCACTGCTACAACCTCTTTGATTTGTGTTCTTCATTCCCTAAGTACTTATGGGGCACAGCCTTGGGCCTGGCTCCGTGCTGGGCCTGGGATGTAACGGAGAGCAGGAACACACTGCACGCCCTTGGAGGTGACTGGCGGCCGTGCAGGACAGCGCAGCTGCCCCATGTGGAAGTGAAGGCGAATGTGTGCCTCAGACAGAGGCACTGGGGCTTCTGCCCGGTGCCCAGGGTCTGCCCATGGGCCTGGGTGTTAGAGGCCTGAGTGCTTCTCCTATCACCACTCTAACCTCCGAATCTCTGTTCCACGCATGCCTAGTACTTCCAGCTCTGGCTGACCCTGCAAATTACTGTCCTAATCAGGACACTTTTAGGAGTAAAGAGAGCCCTGTGGCTGCTGAGATGACAGGCAGGAACACTGGCCCCAAGTTACCCCATGTGTCAGGGAGCAGCAGTTACTGTCTGGTAAGTTAAACTGCCCCTTCTGTAGGGATTCACAAACAACTGTCATCCCCACTGACTATGGGCCCCTCCAGGATTAAGACGATACTCCATGCCCAGCCGGCGTGGCACAATGGCTGAGCATCAACCTATGAACCAGGAGGTCATGGTTGGATTCCCGGTCGGGGCATATGCCTGGGTTGTGGACTCAATCCCCAGTGTGGGGCCTGCAGGGGCAGCTGATCAATGATTCTCTCTCAACATTGGTGTTTCTCTCTCCCTCCCTCTCTCTCTCTCTCTCTCCTTTCCTCTCTGAAATCAGTGAAAACATATTAAGAAAAAGAAGATATTCCAGCTGCATCTGCTGAGTAAGCAGCTCCCTGAACTATTCAGATCCAGGCAAATCCTGTGCCAGCCACCCAAGCCCAGAACAGACACCTGCAGGCTCCGGAGCTCTCCCTCAGCCCGTCCCTCCTGGTGGTCTCCCCCCTGCCCTCCGCAGGTCCCTGCCGGTCCGACGGCGCTCACCTCTGGGATCTCCAGGGGCACTCGGCGCACCTGCATGCCCTGCAGCACCACGGGCCTCGGCTGCAGCAGGTTCAGGCTGCCGGCCGCCTCGGGGACGTCAGCCGAGTGGAAGCTGGAGGAATGTGAGTGGCGGTCCCTGTGGAAACCACAGCCATGGGGTCAGGGCCGCTGGCACTGGGCGGGGTTGGGGCCAACACAGGCCATAACTGGAGGGGCTGCTCAGAGCAGGAAAAGAACAGAATCGGGGGCTCCAGAGGGGGCAGGAGGCCCTGGGTTCCTGGAAGACCCTGGAAGCCTCCTGCTTAAAGGTATCATGGACTCAAGGACCCAATAGGTCCTGTAGGCCTGCCCTTCACTGCCCCTTCCCCAACCCAGCGAACCGAGACATGGGAGACGCACAGAGCCACCGCCACCCCCACCTGGGCCTCCAGTTCAGCCTGGGAGAGAAAACGTCCCAAAGGGCAGCCCACACTGGGGAGACTCACCAGGTCCCATTGGCTGCCTGATCGCCCTGCTGCCCTACGGGGTTCTCGTAGCCGCCTCCAGCCAGCCCGAAGGTGTAGGAACGCCGCACGCCTGGAGCAGGGGTGAGGGCATTGGACAACATGTCAGAGACAGGAGCACCAAGGCCCGACCCACGGGAACACCACAGCCTTTGAGAGCACTCTGCTGTGTCCCCTGCCCAGCCCGAGGACAGAGCAGAGGGAGGGCCTGCACTCGGGCACCCGGTGCGGATCCCATTCTACCACCGGCTCAGCCTCTGACTGCAGGCTGCGCCTCAGCTTCCTCATCAGCAGGCTGGGCAGGAGACCATCCCACCTCAGAGGCCGCAGGTGGGATGCAGGCAAGGCGCTCAGCAGAGGCCAGAGGTGCGGACGTCCCCGCGGCGAGCACTGCTGCGGGGCTGACGAGACCCCGGCAGGAGGAAGAGGGGGCACTGGGCGGCCGGAGCCAGAGGCTGGGCCGGCAGGGCTCTCGGGCTCGCGAGGGCTCACCGCTCTCATCGTAGAAGTAGTGCACGGCGCCCTCCGAGGTGTCGTCAAAGGTGCAGGCCTCGTGCACGTTGGCGCCGGCCCGAGTGAGCAGCAGCGAGGAAGCGAAGTGCAGGGCGGAGGGCAGCGTCAGCGCCCGGGAATGGGAGGAGGCCCGGACCCGCTGTGCCTCGTGCAGGCTGCGGACAGGTCAGCATGGGTCAGCAGCTCTTAGAGCCCACTGGCCCCGGCCCACCGCCCTCAACTGGGGGGCAGGCACTCACCTCGGGGGCGAGCCCATGACAGACGCTGGAGGAGTGGGGTTACTGCCCGCGTTGTGGCGCCTCCGGATCGCCTGGGTCCGCCTCACGTTGCTCGCGTGGTCCCGCTTTCCGGCCTCCTCAGCTGCTGCCCGGAAAGACCCCGAGCATAAGGACAGTGCTGAGACAGAGCTGCTGGGGTGGGCAGGCACTCCTGCCTGGAGGGAAGGTCAGGCCTAGTCCAACCGTGCCCTGGCCCTGGGCCCCAGCGAGGCCGCCAACCGCTCAAGCCAGGTCCCCGTCTGTCAGTAAGGACAGTGCGACCCAGGGGGCCCAGGATGACGATGTGCTGCTGAGAGTCCTCAGGGCAGAGGTTTCAGGTGCGAACCGCAGCACCAAGGGCAAGGTGCCGAGGTCCCTGCCCGTCTCCTCACAGCCCCGCTTCCCTGAGGGGTTTGGCAGGCAAAGCGCTGAGCTCACACCCATCTGCTGCCTGAGACAGGCTGAGCTGACTGACCGGGCCCACTCCAGCCTGCCCCTTGCCCGAACCCAGGCCTCTAGCCGGCTCCCCACCCGCCCAGCCTGGAGCTGGCACTCACCTCCGCCCACGGCGCCTTCCTCCTGCAGCTCCCCCCGCCAACCAGGCTGGTTGGCAGCAGGTCCCCGGTGGGCCTCAGCGGACAGCACAGTGGGCTCCCCAGCAGCCAGCTCCACCCCTGCCTGCGCCTCCAGCTCAGCCTTGGAGCCAGCCAGGGGGGCCCTCAAGACGTCACCCCCCGCCCCATCCATGCTCAGCACACGGGCGTGTGTTTTGGCGCTGGCAGTACTAGGCGTCCGCTGGGTCCCGTAGGGCCGCTTGGGGGGCACAGCGGTCCCTTCCTCAGACCCATGAGGGGCCCGGCGCTTCCGGGGACCCCCCGCCGCGCCCCGGGAGCTCTCCGGGGAGTAGCAGGAAGAGGAGGAGCTGTCGGTGCTGTAGCGGCGCTGAGATCGGAGGCTGGAGGCCGGGCTCAGCTCACTGCCCTCGCTGCTGTCTTCGTCTTCAAAGAAGCCCCCGCCTTCCAGCAGGGGCCTGCGAGGGGCGTGGCCAGGCGGCGAGGGCCTCCGGGCAGGCGGCCGCCGTTTGCTAGGCCGGAGCAGGGCCAGGTCCTTGGGCCGCACAACCAGGAGTGGCTCCGCTGGGCCGGGCGGTGTCCCCGCGCCTATGACCGTGTCAAAGGAGCGCAGCGTGTCATCGGAGGGGACCCCGGCGTCCGGCGAGGCGGGCAGCTCCGCCTCGGAGGGCGGGTCTGTGTCGCTGCCCTCGGGGGCGTGCCCGCCAGGGGGGCTGTCCAGGTGGGTTGAGTTGGTCTTCTCGCTCTTAAAGCTGCTCAGCGTCTCCCTGTCGGTGCCACTGAAGCAGGAGTCCGAGGAGCCAGCTTTCTGGGTCATGGGGTCCCCTGAGCCCCGCCTGTCCAGAGGCTGGTAACCCCCCACGCCCCGGTGCTGTTCTCGTCGGCTGCTGGTCCTCACCAGGGCCCGGTCGGGCCGGGACAGGGTCAGGAAGCTCTTGCTCAGCTCCTGGCTGAGGCTCCCCTTCAGCAGGGGACTCATAGGAGTGTCAGCGACACTGCTCCCGCTCCAGGCGGCTCCGCCTCCAGCCAGGGGAGAGCGCTCCGAAGAATCCGTGCTGGGGAGAGAGGGGTCTGGGGCAGCCCCCAAGGGCATCTGGGGAAGGTCTCCAACTGTCAACAGATGGAAGGCAGAGGTGAGTGAAGGACACATTGCCAAAGGACCTGGCGGCTGAGGGACCCAGGGCCCATGCTCTCTCTGAGAGCCCAGCAGGGCTAGAACCCCGAGGAGGCCCCACCCAGAACAAAGAAAGCACCAGGGAAGCAAAGCTGGGGTGACCCTAAGACAGACAGTCTTCCCCCAAGCCACTCACACCAGGCCCACTCACTCAGCTTCTCCTGGGAGCTTAGCCTGAGCATCTCCCGATCGGCTGAGGTCACGATCACGTTGTTGCTGCCCTGCTCCCGCACCAGCTCCTTGATGTCTGCAACCGAGGCCCGAAGGCATCAGCAGGGCCCAGGGCGGCTGCCTGCCCTCCCCTTCCCCACCGCCACCAGCAGCCCCCTACCTCTGAGCGGCCCAGAGTCCTCCATCCGGGGAAGCAACTCCTGAGCAGATGGAAAAAGAAGTGAAGGGGCGAACAGGATAGGAAGTAAGCTCAGGACATACCCACGGTGGGGAGGGCTCCCAGGAGAGGAGCAGCAGAGGCCGGAGGCCGGGACCACTCACCGAGACCTGGTTGAAGCCAAACACGGAATGCTGGGAGCTACAGCGTACTGGGGGCGTGGAGCTCACTTTCCGAAACACTGTCATCTCCACTCCAGGGTCCCTGAGGGGGGGACAGAGCGTCAGCTAGGAGCTACCCCTCTCTCTTCACATCGCACCTCCTCTGCCATCTCCGTCACTTCTCCGGCTCTCCCTCAATTCCAGTGCCAACCACAGAGCTGCACTGACCACTCCCGGAGCCAATGGTCCCTGGGCCCCTCCTCCACCCTCCAGTGCTCAGGCCCTGCGCCCGCCCCGCCCACCTGAGCGGGTTGCTGTCCCCCTGGGCAGCCTCCTCCTCCTGCTCCCCCAGGGTAGAGTTGCGCTTCTCCACAATCTCGCCCTGGTCGAACATGGCGTGCAGCCGGTAGTTCACGGTCTTGATGGTGGTGAAGATGACGGCCACCACAAGGCAGTACACGCCGGCCACCACCAAGCTGGGGGGCAGGACCTGGAGGGGTGGGCAGGAGCAGGTCAGGTCCCTTCTCAACAGCCCGACCCCCCCAGTGTGGCTGCGACTCTCAAACTCACAAGCAGCTCCGCCAGCCCTCAGGGAACCCAGTGGGACACCTTGCCGGGGGTCCTGCCTCCTAACTCAAGAAATTACATGAGGCGCTCAAGGTCACCCAGCCCAGCGAAGGAAGAATTGGCTCCTTCTCCACGCGATCCAAACTCTGCGGAGGTTCCTCTCTCCGCACCCCGGCACCCAGGGCGCAGTCCCGAACCCCTGCCAGGCTGCCAACCCTCGGTGACAGCTGCCCGCACTCTGGGCGGCGGGAGTTACAGGTAGGCGGCGGCGGGGTCTCACCATGTACAGCAGGAAGGGGAAGGTGAGCAGGAAGATCCAGACGTAGAGGTGGAAGCAGTTGGAGAAGGTGCTCTGGTGCGGGTCGAAGAACCAACCGCCGGTGAGCGAGGCCCACACCCCCTGGCGCAGTATCTGTAACACCTGCGACCCCATCGCCCCGCCACTGCTGCGCGCGCCCCGCTTCTGGGACCCTCATGGGGGCGGCCCCCGGCCCATGCCCCGCCTGGCGCCCGAAGGCCCCGGGGCTGGCCGCGCTCACGCCATGGCCTCCCCCGCAGGGAAGAGGGGTCCGCGGGGCGAGGTTGCGGGCAGGGGGCGGGGCCGGCCGGGGCAGTCAGCGGGGCCAGGCCAGGGCGCGGCGGGGGAGCCGCATCAGGGGCGGGGTCTGGGCCCCCACCCCCGACCCAGAACTGCTCCGAGAGGCCGAACGGGCGAGCGGGCGCGGGGCACGGGCCGGGCACCCGTCGGCGGCATCCAGAGGTGGGCGTGGGGTGGGTGCTCCGGAGACGCAGGCGACGGCTCCCCGGCTCCGGTCCGGGAGAGCCCCGGGACCCTGAGGTCCACTTCCGGGGTCACAGGTCACTCGCTCCGGGACCCACACTCGCCCCGCTCCGCAG